ATTAAAGAAGCAAATGAATTTTGAAGTATAAATAAGCTAACATAGATCATAAGAGTCCATGCCAATAACGGTTTAAGTAAGATGTGCTCAATTGCAGATTGAGGTAGTTTTTTTAGAGGGGTGGGGGGAAAGTTGCACAGAAATACTAAGAGAAAAAAAATGTGCAAAAATAACATTGTTTGCTGCCAAGCGAGAGAATATACAAGTTTGGCCGTCAGAGAAATCTCTGGGTTTGGACAGGCCCGGGGCTTTCAGGCTTGAGCCCTTGCAAATGTGACTGTAACAGAAAGAATCCCAGATGAGATGCTCAGTTCCCAGCAGCAGTAGCTAGAGGGAGCAGTGCAGGGTTAGCACAGTCTGCGACCGAGAGAATCAGTCAGTCCTGCGTTTCTCCTGCAGGATTTAAGATGATGGAGTAAAGGACGAAGTTCCATATTTACCACGTCTACCAATTAATGTCTTATTTAGACATTTGTCTTGCATTACTTCTTCACTTTCAGCACCTTCTTTGTGTTGTAAGTTGCTGAGTAATTTTTAAATATAATATGTTCTCTGATTTTTCTGGAAGTGAGGGGGTTGTGGTTTTTTCTGAAAACACCAGATCCTCCATTAACATTCTGCAGGCTTAGAATATGATAACTTTGAAAAAATACATTTCACAGTGGATAAAATAATTTACCCAGTTCATCATGAGGAAATAGGCAAAGCTCTGTGGTGCAGAACAGTCTTTGCCATTATTAAGTTCTGTTACTCATTTTTTGCATAAGTCAAAGCATTACCTAAGTTTGTACCATTTTAGAAATCTTGTTACAAAAGTTTTCTTTCTTGCTCCCTAATGCTCTGCTGACCAGGCAGCATCAAGCCCCTTTTCTCCATCTAAAATCCTCTGGTGAATACCCTTTGCAGCTCTTGGTTTGGGGTTTTCTCAGACATGATAAATGTGATCATCATTTGACAGCCAGAGGTGCTCTCAGGTTGGCAGGTGTATCTTACCTCTGCTTTCTTCTGTAAAATTTGTGCTAATTCTTGCAGATAGGAATGTTCATTGTAAAGAAAAAAATAAAATGTGTTTCATTGCTGCAGGAGAAGCAAATGGTTTGTCAGGGTTGGAGCCAGTGAGCACAGTGATGCCTGACTCAGCAAATCTGGCTTGCAGGAATTTGACTGGATGTTTTGGTTTTGGAGCACAGATTTTATTTTTAAACTTTTACTTGAGTTTTGTGTTCCAGCCCTCCTGCTTTGCCTGATCACACATAGGTTCAATGCAGAGCAGTACACTTTTGAAAATGGGTATGGTATCAAGAGAGTGATTGCTGCTTTTCTTACATTTGAGTCATTAGAAGAAAGTCCTTTTCAAAAGAAAATGTGCTACTTCAAGAAATCTCAGTTTCTGTGTTGATCAGGATAACAAATAGGAATTCATTGCAAAATTCTGAATTTGGGATATTTGCAAGAGAGCTCTCTGGATAAATGAGGCACATCCATGGGCAACTGAGGCAGCCTGGGGGGAGCAGGGACTGCAGCTGTAGGTTAGTGTGTGGGACTGTCCAGACCCCTGGAAATAACTCCCTGGGGAGTGTGATCCATGTCTAGTACAGGTGGTCAGAACTGCAGGTGTCAGAAGGGGAATGGACAGTCTGGCAAAGGGCACCATCCTGGCTTTCCCTGTGGAAAGCAAGTCCTGGTTCATGGTATTGTGGGATCCCTTTGGTGAGGAGCAGAGGGATGAGCTGCTCAGAGTGAGGAGGTTGTGACCAGCTGAGCATGGCTGGTGACAGCTGGGCTAAAGAGCTGGTTTTTGGGCAGTAGATCATTTCAGGCTGCAAAAGGATGGGATAAAGAGACTTGACTACATCTTCCCTCTCACGACAGAAGAAAATTCCGATAATCACGAGGCTGGTTTTGTCCATTTCCCATATGCCCAATTCATCTGAGGTCAGATTAAACTCTTACCTCCTTGGAACAGGAAATACAGGGCTTCCTGTTGCACAGAGCTCTGAGCTGCCTGTCAGCTCTCGTTAGACAGAAAAGAGTAAGAATGCAATTAGCCTGCTGGATAAAAGGCAGGGAAAAGTCCCTTAACTACGAAAAATCAACACTTGAGGAAGCAAACCACATGTGGAGAACAAATGCTGGAAAAAGCCCCGACTGTTTGGAACAAATGCCTTTATTACTTAAATAAACAGCAGCGTAATTTGTTGAAGTGACAGTGTGAGCTGTTCTGTGCCCTGTATCTGTAAGAAGAATTCACTGCTAACTTGAAAGCAGATGGTTTTATATGGCCCTGGGTGGGTTTTCTGGGAAATATTAGTTCTATACTGCCATACAGGAACAGAAATATCCTACTAATGCTGCAGCAGGCTAAAAGGAACAGGGATAGTGTAAAACAAGTATGAAATATGCTGTGTCTGTAGCCCATATTTCAGGTAGATTAAAAGCAGTCATGGATTTTTCATTTTTTTTAAACATCCTCTGGGAGAACAGACATCTTAAAGTTCATTGAGATCAGGACACAGATGCCAATAGGCTCATAGCCAGGCTCTGTTGTGCATTCTTAGGTTTGAAAAGTACTCCCCTTCCTGCTTTGGAGACAAAACCCCTTTTATTCCATGTGTTTTGATTATTCATTTTTTGAAGCAAATGACGGCAAGTTACTTAAAAGAATTTTAAATGGTCTTTTTTTCTCTCCTTTCAAGTAGAGGCACGATATCAGCACATAGCAGTGGTCACCTCAGCAACCCCAGTATTTCTGTAGAGTTTTAAGCAGATAAATAAGGATGAGAGTAGAGACCATTTTGTAACTTCCACCTCCTGAATGCCTCCTGCCTCACTCCATGCTGATCACAGGTGAGCTGGTGCCTGTAGAACCACTCTTCTACATAGAGCTGCTTGTACCTTTTGTTCTCTGCCATGCTGTTGTTTGACTGTATGTCTGTTACCTGAGTTAATCATATCACATCTAAATTTAGCCTGTAATCTCTTTAGGACACTGGCAGTAGTTGCAAAGTCAGAGCTGAGCAGGTCTCACGTATGTTGCCTACTACTGCAGCTTGGCCCTGTGGCTGATGCTGAGGTCTGCAGGAGTATCTTTGAAATCTAAGAGCTTGGGTTGGCAAAGCTTGTCCTTGACCTCTGCTGGGGCAGTGCAGGAGGTTGGGCCCTGCACAGAGCCCTGTGTGCCAGGCCCATTGCAAAAGCACTGGCTGTGTTGTGGCACACCCTGTCACAGCTGCCTCAGCAGTTGGGTGCCCCAGGACCTGGTTCTCTGCCATCCGTGATCTGCAGAAGTAACTGTACCAAAGTTTAAACTGAGTCTTCAGATTTTAAACCTGAAAATGTTTCTTCATGCAGGCTGCAGGCACCACTCACAGCCAGCAGCAGGGAACATGCAAGAATGCAAAGACTCAAGTTGACTGGAGATGTTTCCTGCAGCTGATTCTGTGCTGGGGGTCTTGCAGTGGGAATCTTTGCTCTGGAAGCTCCAGAAGGCTGCAGTGAATGAACAGAGACAGGTACAGTGGCTGCTGAGCCCATGTACCATGGCAGGGCATAGCCTTTGGCTCAGGGGTGGGTCAGAATGCCTTTAGATAAATTGGACTCCAGCTGGATGATGGAAATGCAGCACTGGGCCTGGAGACGGGAGATTGTGAGTCTGGGATACGTTGATGTAGGAGGATAAGATGTGGAAGAAGTGAAAGCTTTGAAAAAATGCCCATATAGGTAATTTGTAGCACAGTGTTAAGTGTGTGTTACCTTTGCATGTGAGATAATACCTGCTGTCTAGTCCTGGCTCTGTGCTGATGGATAATCCTGGGCTGGCTCTGACACTTGGGTGCCTCTGTTCCCCCACCAAAGGAAGCACAATGCCCCTCTTCACAATGTCCTGTACTACCTCTATATGCTACTTGACAGCTAATTACTACACTTACACAACAAAAATCCAGATAAAAATGCCCTTCTGGGGAAGGCTAATGCTGCTTTCTTCCTCTCCCTTGTGGGCTGCTCTGGCATCAGTAGTGAGCAAGATGATCCCCTTCCTCCTCCTCCTCCTTTCTCTCTGCAGACTGGGATGAGGTGGGGTGGGCCCCCAACATAAGCAGAGTTTTTCTCCTCCCTGCAAAAACTATTTACATTTTGTTGTATGGACTCAGGGTACTGTAATACAGAAAGGGTAGCAGGAAAAGGTGTCCTGCATCTCTGAATCACTAAGGAAAAGCAGTCAGCTTTGGTTTGTTTTTATTTTTGTTTTAGTAAAAACACACTTCCCACTCTTAACTTTTGAAACTTCCACGTGGCACAGAGGGGGATCGGTTCCAGTTGATATAAGCCTGGATGAAGAGAGGGAGGAAATAACTTAATTGCTTTAGTTCAGCTGGAGTGGAGAGGAAAGAATCAGTGTCCCTTTTTTGGAATTCAGCAAGAAGATTGTGTTGTTGGTGAGGACAGATCCCCTGCAGGTTCTGTGGAGGTACTGTATGGATTCTGGGGGCATGCGCAAAACAGGTGGCTATATGTTTAAAATAGGAACTCTGCTGTCAGGGACAAAAAGCTGTGTTGCTTTCTTGGAAGTATTGCTGCACTTGGAGCATACTGTGTTATCAACAGGGTGTTTCTGTGCTTTCACCAAGAGGGGGGAAAATAAGGAATGGGACGCTTCTGGGCTGAATAGGGGGTGTGTGTGATGGAAGGTTCTGATGTTAGTGCTGTAATGTGGGGCTTAGAAGATAAAAAAGAGATTGGGTAGATGGGATGTTACAACAAATTTGGGGACTTTGCCTCTTAAACATCTGTAGTTTCAGCCCGTTGATCCCTGGTCCCTGAAGATCAGTTGATAGGTTGAAAACCAGGGAGAGTTAAAAGGGAGGGAGATGAAATGCAGGAAAAACTGCTGATCTGTCACTCGTAGCTAATTTGAACCAGACCCCCAGAGAATGGGAGGACATTCCCACCTGGGATTCAGATTTTGGGTTGAATGCAGCTAAAATCAAAGATCTAGTCCCAGTGCAGCTCCAGTCTCCCGCAAGGAAATGCAGAAGCACAACCGTCTCTGTTCTCCTCTGCCAATTCCAGCACGCTGGCTTTTGGCATCCTCACGGAGCCTGCAAATTGTGTTGACAAAAAGTAATGGGAGATTGTTTATTTCCCAAGTCTTTATATTCAGTCAATAGCTGCTTCCTCTTTCCTACTCACATTTTCCCATATGGTGACTTTGGAAAATTCCTCTCCGATTTCGTTGGGAAGTGCAGGAGGCTCTCGTTGGTAGAGGGTTGCCTGTTGCTCTCTAATTCTGCTGCTCACATCTGGAAAGGATCTGGCTTGGAAAGGGGAGACTCGCTGTGAGCTCAGTGCATGTCACTGACATGGCATGAGTGAGGGAGCCTGTGGGGGCAACAGAAATGTTCTTCTCCATTCAGCTGAGTTCTGACAGCAAAGGTGAGTTTTTCAGCACTTTATTTGTTTCAAAAGCTGGATTGTCAGAACCTGCAGCAGCAGCAGCAGTCTGCCTTTCAGCTGCAGCTTTTAGCAAGGATATTCAGTGTAACAAACTCAGTTAACCTGTTGATTTTGAAGAATCCTCCCATTTTGTGGATGTTTTTCCTATCTCTGTGTGTGTGTGTCCTGTGAGAATGTGTGTGGATGATAACAGATAACAGAGATGAGATACTTTGAAAGAGATTCCGTTGTTTATTGAGGTAACTGTGGTCACTGAGAAGCATTCAGTAACTCCTAAAACTGCAGTTTACCTCTGGAGACTGTGTCTTTTGTAGCACCCTGTCTCTGGTGCTGTGGGGCACCAAAGGGCAGGTGCCAGTTCTGTCTGGACTCAGAAAGATGCAGTGCAGAAGCCCCTGAGCTGGTTTCAGGGTCCCTTCAGTCTCTGGGTGGCAGGACCTGATCCAAAGCCCACCTACAGCCAGGGAAGAGGACTGTTTCTAGTGGGTTTTGAGCTACTCCTTTAGAAAAGTTTCTTAGTAAGGCTTTGGATCAGGCCCATGGGAATGAGTTGAAATGGAGTGAGTTACCTCAGACTTTCTTTGAACTAAAAATCACAATCATGTCTGGTTTTACTGCCTGCACTCCAGATGTACACAGATGTTCCTGTATCCAAAGTGTCTCCCTGTGCTAGAGCAGCATTCACTCCAAAGGCATTGTAGCAGACAATAGTGTACATTTTGCTGACAAGGGGGTGAGATTGCCTCTGAAATTTTATTGTGCAATAGATAGAATATTTCATGTTAATTTTTTAACATCCTTTCAGCTGCATATGTGGAAAAGTCAGCATGTTGCAAATCTGTAGAGCCCAGTACCAACCACAGTGTAACTGTGTTTGTATTGCTACAGCAGGGCTGGTTGGGACCTGCATATAAAAGATTTTTTTCTTTAGTTTCTTTTGTAAGTATCTATAAGGGTAAGCTGATATATGGGGAAAATACTTTGTTAGAGACCTGAGATACTTTCTGAGATTATTTTCTCTAAGATTTCTGAAATATTTTCTGAGATTAGGTTACCAAATACTAAAGATTTTACTAATCCACTGTTGGCATACTCATATGGCCAGTTTTGATCTCACTGTTAATATTTAGCTGCCATACAAGGAATGTTTTATAAAAGAGAATAATTTCATTATATTCAGCTATTCAGCTATATGGAAGCTGTGAAATAGTGGAGCAGGGGGAAGAGGGATCGATGCTAAATGCTTAAAATCACCCAGAATGTTTGTAGCAAAGACCAGGACCAAAGCAAAACCATCCATGTCTTGGGATGCCCTGCCCTGTAGTCCCACCTGCTCCCATTTCTTCAAGTATAAGTCAGTGTTTAAAGAAATTATTTACAATTTTCATGACTGTGACTGAGAGCAGGATCTGTCCAATGCTCCCCAAGCACCCAGAGTCTGTGAGAGCCCCTGGTGCAAAGCAGCAAAGCCCAGTGGGTGTAAATGGAGATGTGCAGTTCTGACAGCCGCCAGTGTGGCTCTGGGAGGTTCTTGTTTCTGATGCAAAGAAGGCATGTGGCTGGTAGAGGTGAACAGAGTACTTATTACTTATTTCGTGTCATGAATCCACTGTGCCTTTTCACCTTAAAAGATCAGCCTAAGTAAGTCTCATCACTGTTGAATGCTTCTGATTAGAATAGCCAAGAGGATAAAAGACAGGCCATAACCAGCCCTGACTGAAAACCTTTATGTATGAAATCTGAGAAGGGCAACAAATGGGACCGAGGGGGCTGGGTTAGGGCCAGCTGGCTGCTCCAGTCCGTATCCAACTTCTGTTTGGATTATTTTAACCTGCTGCCAGAAAGATAAAAGCTGAACGTGAGCCAGGCCTCTTAGTTCAGATCAGCACTGTCCAAAATCCATAGGAAGCCCGTTTTGTTTTCAGTAGCCATGAGGTTTTGTTGTTGCTCCACGCACGTGTAGCAGCCCCTCCGAGAGTCACTCTTGTCCAGCCTCTGTGTTGTTTAAATAACGAGAAGAGTTTCTCCCTAAGCAAAACTGCGAGGAGCAGTGCGACCGACAGCCACACTGAACTAACATTTTATGAATCTCCGGGGATCACCTGGCGTTTCTCAATATGAAAAAAGCAATAACTAACCGGAGGAATTGGGGCCGGTGTGGGGGATGCTGTGCCCGGGGCCCGCATCCCGGTGCCCAAACCGCGCTCAGAGGGCGTGAAGGCGCCCCGGGAGAGCGGGGCGGGCGCCGGGCTCTGGTCCGGGCCGTGCCCCGGGGCTGACCCGCCGTGCCGGAGCTGACCCGCTGTCCCAGCCCGTCCCCGGGGCTGACCCACTGTCCCGGCCCGCGGGCATGCCGGCGGCGGCCGGGCGCTGCTGGGCTGCCTGGGGCTCCCGGCGCTGCTGGCGCTGGGCTGCCCCGCCCACACCGACACCGAGCCCGAGCCCGAGGCGGCCCGGCCCCCGCGGCCCGGCCCGCCTGCCCCCCGCGACTGCGGCTGCACCCAGGAGGGCGTCGTGGACTGCGGCGGCATCGACCTCAAGGAGTTCCCGCTGCTGCTGCCCGAGCTCACCAACCACCTGTCCCTGCAGGTAAGGGCGCGCCGTGCCCGCATCCCGCCCTCATCCCGCTCCTCCCTGCTCCCCTCAGCCCCGACCCGGCTGCCCGCAGGGAGCAGCAGGTGCAGCGGGCCTTAAGCTCGACGGATGCGCCTGGTTATCGGCACTAATTCTCTCCCCGCAGATCCAGGGAGGGCGAAAGATACGAAATTTTTCTCTTTAGTCTCTCACAGCTTCCTGAGAAGAATTTTTGTCCGAACTAACAGTTACTGTTTCTGGTGAAGGCCTTTCATTTTGAGGTGTCTTTGAGAAGGATGGGCTAAGTTTCTGGGCAGCACTGCCTGTTAGTCCAGATGCTGAAGACACAGTGAACCTGTGCAGACACAGGGCCAGCCCGTGTTCCCTCGTGTCCCATCTCTCCCTCAGCACACAAACTCAGCAAGAAGCAGGGGTGACACAGCCAGTGCCATCCCTCAACCCCAGTGGCACTGCCTGTGGCAGGGACACTGATGTCATGCCTGCAGCAAATGGTTCCACTCCAGAGATCTCATGTCTTGTTAGGATAAGGACAGGTAAGGTTGTGAGATTCCAGCTTAAGGTAGAAGAAGCAGGATGTCCTGGACTGTCAGCAGGTTTCCATGCTCTGCTGTTAGTTAATTGATCCCTATGACCAGCATTTGGGCAGGTGTCCTTTCCATGGCAGTGCTCTGACACCTGCAGGCGTGGCAGGGCCAGAGCATGGCAACCTTGTGGCCGTGCCTCCTCTGAGCAGTGGCAGCAGTTCCAGGATTTCCAATGCCTTGCTTTTGGTTTATTGCTCCTATCTGCCAGTTCTGTGCAATGGATGAAATGCAGATTTTGTTCAGAGCTTTCCAGTTAGAAAAACTGTAATGTAAGCTGGCACTTTCCTCAGCAGATCTGTCCCAGGCAAGTGCTAGCCATGGCTCCTGCCTCTGCTGCCAAAAGAAAAGCAGCTTTTTGGAGCAGCAGCTGTCACTTTCTGTGCACTGGCCTGGCTTCCAGCACAGCAGGACCTTAACTGGTCCCTTAGATGCTAAAATAGAATCACTCATTAATGGTTAAAATGTTAGTCAGCACATTAATGAAAATCTGATGTCAGTCACCCCTGACAGTGGTACTAGTGAAAGTGAGCCCAGTTTGATGCTCCCTTTCTGTGACAAGTGGCTTTTAAAACAATCCAGGAATAACAGAAGTGATAAACTTGGAAATCCACCATGCCAACCTTGTAGCAGCTGCTCTGCTGCAGCCACAAGGTTTGGCTTTGGCAGATGGATTATGGGCCTTGCCAGGCATAATCTCACTCTGTGTGCTGCCAGTGCATAAGACAGGTATTCCTGGGGATGAGCAGAAGTTCAGGTCTTCCAATGCTGCTAGGTTTGGATGTCTTGTTTTTGATATTTGAGTTTGGCTCATTACAGAGAGAAGTCTTGACAGTGATTTGGCATGGTGGGGTCACTTCCAGATTTTATTGGAGTTCACAGTCTGGGTTTACTGGGATCCTTCTTGGATTACTTTGCTGATGATTAATACTCTCCATTTTCTTAGAATAACCAAATAGAAGAAATCTTTCCAGAAGAACTTGCTCGTCTTTACAGACTGGAAACTCTCAATCTGCAAAACAACAGGCTGACTTCAAAAGGTGAGCTGGCAGAGCCATGGGGTGGACAGAGCCTGTGCCTCCAGAACACCAGTGACACCTGATAAAGAAAGCCACAGAGTGATGGATTGACTTGGTTGGAGTGGTTCTCTGCAAGCCTCACTCCTTTGACCATCACACACATCATGGAGACACTTTATCATCTGAAACACAAGACTCAGTGTACAAGAATGCAGCCCTGCTGAACCAGGAGGAGACCTGGCAGCAGCTCCGTGTGCTGTGGCGTGAGATCTCCTCATCCAGGAAACTCCCTCTGGTCCCACAGGCTCTTCCATGCAATGCACTGGGGAACCAGAAACCTCCACGTGCTCAATGATTTCCTCCTGACTGACCTTGTTCAGTTCAGTCTAGGCAGTCAGTTCGTGTAGTTCAGTCCAGTTCTGTCCTCACTGAATTTGGTATAAATACAAATATACATTGCAAATAAGGACATTTTGACGCTTCCAAAACCATTTTGATTTTAGTAGGCAGGTTTTCCTTGCTTGGTCTTATGCTTATGAGGGAAACTCGATAAGGAGCTAATAAGGAAAGCAAAAGAAACTCAGGAACTGGAGTAAATAGTAAGAAAGCATGATATGGGATACAAAAGATGTAATTGTTGTGCATCACATTAACTTGTGATCCAAATGCTCTTGCTTTCCTTATTGCAATGGCAGAGGACAGCCTTTATTGAGAATGTGGGAATAATATGTGCCTAATAGGTTCAGCCTTTGACATTATTACCTTTGGGCCTTCTTGTTCCTTTCACAAGCTGCAGTGCAGCCCTGAGTTTCCAACATGTTTTGACATGGGAAACAGCTTCACCTTTGACTCCTGGTTATCTCAGTGCCAGGTGAAAGTGTTACTTGCAGTGTTTCCATTGTGACAGCAATTGTGGTTGTGTCATCAGCTGGATGTGGAGTGACTCAGCTGAAAATGAATAATTACTGGGGGAGGATAAGCTCTGAGCTGGTTACTGTGTCGATGGATATCTCTGCTGTGGGGAGCAGGACAAGGGAAGGGTTGTGGCATGCAGATACTGGTGTGATTTTGGCAATGTAGTCCTTCATCAGATCCATTCATTGAGCAACCTCAGATTATGCCCTTGCAAGAAAAAAGATTTGCAGAATCATAAGCAAATTACAAAAGAAACTGCTCAGACAGTGTGGTTGCTGCAAGGGGGGTCTGCCCAGCTCTGCCCCTGACTCCTGCCAGGGGGTTGGCCACAAGCCTTGTATGCTCAACGTTCCTAATAGTCTTCCATTGCTCTTAACAGCCAGTATTGTTTTGTGGCATTTTGAATTAAAAAAAATAACAACAATAGGTGTGACCCAGATTGTTTCAATAGTTCAATCTCATATGAACAATACCTGAGAGAGAAAGCTGCCCCCTGGTTTTTTCTCTCAGAGAGGCAGTAAGGTGCCAGTGTCACTGATTAGTTATTCCTTTTTTTAAGGGTTGCCAGAAGAAGCATTTGAACATCTGGAGAACCTGAATTACCTGTACCTGGCAAACAATAAGGTAAGTGGCTCTGAAGCCTTTCAGAGTTCTTTTCTAAATTGGTTCTGGAAGTTAAATGACCAATTTGTCAATTCTTTTAAAATGTACATACTAAATAAGCAAAATGTGCTAAAGTGATATTCTAATGCAGGGTCATCTAAGGTCAAGACAATCAGTATGTGAAAAATTTAGAGGCTACACATGCAGGTATATTTTGAACACTTATTTCCTTGTGCAAGTGGTGAAAGGTTTCCCTTGTATAGGGAGGTACAGAGAGCCCCTGCATGCATAAGTTACCACTGTCTTCAGTAGGCTTTGTATCAGCTGTATGGAGATTTGTTTTCTGCCTGTATGCAAATAAACTGTGAGGGAATGGTGTGAAACCCTGCCTGTCCCATCAGATGAGGCTGGTTGAAAAATTTGTGAACACACAGGTCTTAGTACCTGTGTTTGAGGCATCGAGATCTGTCAAAGGCTATCCAGTTTTCCCTGACTCCCATTCTTATTAGGTTTGATATGGGGAGGATACCCACACACAGTGAAATGTGCTAGTCAATAATTTATTCTTTTAGCTGCAGTGATAGGAGCTGCATTTCTTTTTCTAATGGAGAGGATCCTGAGTGCTTTCCTATTACTGACCCAAGTTGGATGTCTTGACAGAAGCCCATCTTTCCTGCCAAGGCTAGGAAATGAAATAGCTTCTCACATACCCTTACATCTGGGTGGTTACCATTATAGCTTTCTTTATCCCCAGTGATTGTCCACAAATATTTGTTACAGAAGAAACTGGGCTACCACAGAAAAATATACGTTAAAACATCAGACAGAGCTTCTTTGTCTACGAAAATCCTGCCCTTCCATCTCACCCTCCCTCTCTCTACATATATATTTATGCCTGTATATATATATTATTATCCTCTTAAAATCTGGGACCATTTGATGTTTTTATTAAATACATGTGGCCCCATTTAGGTTTCGGTCAGGCCAAAACACATCCAGAATCACTCCATACAGAAATATATGGAGTGATTGAGAATAGAACCCATTCCTTAGTACAGTAACATTGTGTTCTTTTCTCTCTTTCAAGCACCATTTCCATGTAACAATCTTGGCAGTTAATAACCCCATAAAAGGGAACAAGCCAGGCTGTGAGTAATATTCCAGAACCTTGCACTCCGATTTTCCCTGTGCGACAAAACAAAGTGTTTGGTTTTTCTGGCTCTATGGCAGAGAAAAAAAAGAGTCCCAAAAGAAATTGCCAACATCAGCGAATGTCAGAAGCAGTTATAGTGAGAAGTTGTGGACCCACAAGAATAACACATTTCTATATAAATCCCAAGCCAGGACAAACCAGATTGGCTTCAAACTGCAGGAAACACTGTGGATCAAGTTACTGCGGTGTCTGGAGGAGAGCAGGGATTTGCTGGTAGTTTGCTCCTTGTTTTATGGATTATCTTAATGCATGTTTATCTTCCATTGTGATCCCATCAGACGTAGCTAAATCAACTTTCATTAAACTGGCATAGATGGTCAGAGAAAAGAAATGTAATAGACTGAAAGCCTTCTGTGGGTTATGAGTGCCAAGTACTTCAAGGAAAGAAGGGATGCTGTAGTTTCCTTTCTAATTTTTCACCCCATTCTCATATTTTGTATCTCTCATATAGTATGCACAGTAAAGAAATTTACTATAAGTTGGTGACAGAAGGTTTTGCATTTCCTCGTATCCCCAAAGTGATACGGGATTCACCTGGATCCAGTACTTCTGTTTATATCAAAGCTTGATCTAAGCAAGAAAACCTGTTTCAAAGCTTTTGTATTAACCTTCTGAATTCATTAGTTAACAGTGGATAAAACACTCTCTGCCATATGGAAAGGAAGGTCCAGCAGTAAAGCTGCAAGGAAATTGCAGCTGGAGAAAGTCAGGTTGTTAGGCAATAAACTGGACAAAGCTATTCAGTCAACCTCATTGTTGCTAATACTTATAACAATCCAGCATTAATCCTTCAAGCAGTCAACCAGTGGAATCAGTCTCATGACCAAGTGCTGAAATGCCAAAGCAAAGTCCTGAGCAAGTGAAAACTCTTTCTGGATGAAACTTCTCTTTCTCTTTCCTCTTTCTTGTGGTTCTGATGTCTCTCATTCCACATGTCTGAGCCATGCCCTTTGTTCTGTATAAAAGTTATGACCTAACTGACCATGTTTCTGGAGAAAAGCTTTAATGTGCCACCCTGTATGAAAATGATTAAGTCTTGTTTCCTGTGTCTGAATTCTCAATATTATTATGTCATAGTAGAGACTTATTTGAGGCACTGTCAGACCTTCCTAGTCAGAGATGAGTGCCTTTATCCAGTTCCCTGGTACCACATCTCCCACATCAGGAGACAAGAGATTGCCATAAAGCCAAGAGCAGTACTGTGGCAACTGCAGTAATATGCAGAATGCCTAATTCCACTGCTTACATACATCTGGGAATACTGACAGGAGTGTGATTTGTGGGAAAGGTCTTTTCTGTGTTTGTGACCATTAAACAATTAAGACAGGCTAAGGATGGAGATTTCAGGACAGCTGAAAATGAAGAACAGTAAATAACATACTTTCATCTTTTTTTAAAGAAAGGACTGTTTTATGAGTCCAGCAAATTGGAAGTTCATGGCTGTAGTTCATCAATGCACACTTGACACACTAGATGGGTGTAGACACCCTTTAGATAAATACATAGTTTAAGGCTTGGGTTAGGCAGTTCTCCAATGAAGTGTCTATCCTCTCACACAGTGTTCATATTTTAAATGTTTTTGGTTTTACACTATCATTCATAACCAATTGAAGTTTTATGGTAATAAAAATTTGAAAAATATGTTTTCTCCTCATATAAATCTTGCTGTGCTTTGCTGGCTGAAAGGACCAGGCTCTGTTTCACACAGCAGAGCTGTGAGGACGAAGCTTTACAGATCCCATGAACCTCAAGCTAGAAGGCAGATTTCATCATCCCAGTTTCCTATCCTGATCTCAAAGCTTTAGATGGCAATGAATTCAGTATCTCACCAGAAAAGTTCTCTCCATAGCCCTCCAGAGTGTACATAAAATACTGGGTGGTCTCAGCAATGAACACCTGTAACCACAGGGACTGCACCTGCCCACTGCAACTCAGTGCCTTCTGCTTCTGTGCTCAAGGACTCTCTGTTACACCACTGTATTAATAATTTGTCTCCCAAGGGCTTAATCTTCATGCAAAAATCTATGGGTTCATTTTTCCCAGAAAACTTTCCTCCAGCCTGGATTGTAACCTGTATTCCTGGTTTCCTGGTGAACAACTTTGCTTTTAACAGCCACTAAGTGAACCTGGCTGTTGCTCTGTAAAACTGAGCTTATTTTGATCAGTGCTCTTCACTCCACCAGTTTGTTCAGGTGCACGTGTTTCTAGTGTTATTTTTCAAAATCCCTGATAAAAACAGCAAGAGACCAAGAGTAAACATATTCAATCCTATACCTGTTGTCAACTATTAAGTTTTGGAGACAGAACTTTTCTGTATTTTCTGATACATCACTTGTTTATTGGACAGAGTATCACTATACAGTAGGTTTTTGCTTTGAAGTCCCTTTTGATAACCCAGCATTCCTGTTCTTTGGGAACCTGGATCCTAAATTGCAGAGATCCCTGTAAATGGATGCAATGGCACAGATACACGAAATGACAGTCACCCTCCATGATATGCTTTCAGAAGAGAGTAAGCAGTAGGTCACTGTGAGGTGGGCTGGAGTTTCTTGGCACAGCAAACTGAGGAATTAGGAACAATAACAAGCAAAGTGTTTGCTCTCTGAATAACAATCTCTTGATTTCTTCCACCAAAAAGAGACAGGACTCTTCCAACCAAAACAAACATTCTCATATCTTAGAGCAAAAGTCTGTCTCCTTCCTGGAGAGATTACTGAGTGGGGACAATTTGTTTTCGTTCATGCAATCCACATTCAGTTTAATTTATTTTTGCCCATTTAGTGAAGATAAATTTGCAAATGATTTACTGCTTGTCTAGTACTTGGTTAAAACTTGTTGCATTTAATTTGAATTCCCCTGTATATTTCTTTTCCAGCTAACAGTGGCTCCGAAATTCCTACCAAATGCCTTGATCAGTGCAGATTTTGCAGCCAATTATCTCACTAAGATATATGGGCTCACATTTGGACAGAAACCAAAACTGAGGTAAGGGACAGGGAAGTAAAACAACAGTGTTCTGCCACTGCTTGGATACAACTGGTGGGTGATAAGAAACTATCTGGCTAAACCATGTTATTGCTCACTTGTGTTTTTTGGAGAGAAGTTGACTGTTTATTATTCTCAGCATGAAAGATCAAATAATCTCTTAAACAAACACATTCCAAGGGCTTTTACTGGCTGCCAGACACTTTTGCATATATAAAATTAAATTGTCCCCTTTTCATTTGTGTGTCAGTTAAGAATTGAAAAGAACAGCTTCAGTTTCTCAAAATGGAGATTAATGTTTAGAAATCTCTGGTTTTATTAGACCCCATTCATTTTTTAGAATAAAATGGGGTGGAGAGTGCAGTACTCAGTGCAGGTGAGTATAACTCAATTCCAGGAAAGCTTAGCCCTTGGCACCTTCAGAAGTGGCTCATTCCCTCATTCCTGGTGTCAAAGTCTCTGCTGGTTTCAGGTTGGGATTTGCTCAGCTGGATCCAGTGCAGCACATTGGCCCACCCCAAACTCAGATGCACACAGACCACCTCCTGGGAGACAGGGGCTTTTCCAAAGGGGTTCTGAGTAATCTGTATGGACACTGCAGCATCCAAATCCTGCAAAGACCTTCCAAACTCTGTTGGGAGCAATTTATGCAGCCAAGTTTGGAAGCAGTTAATAGCAGCTGACCCAGCTGAGCCCCTGCAGTCCAATCTTGTGATGAACTGAAGAACTCTCCATTTCCACTGAACTCTTTGGGAGCTGAAGCTCCTCTGCACTTACTGAGCCCTTTTGTCTCCTGGGCTCTTGGAACCTGAAAAGGCTGAGTCACTCACAGATTTCTGGCAATATCTCATGATGAAAGAAACTACATTTATACATGTTTTATTCCTTAATCTGAGGTGCAGAAGCTGCTGTGTTTTGATTTCGTATTGAAATTACTGACTCTTCTGAAGTGATTTTCACACACTCCTATACCAACACTAATTTTAATCAGAATAGGAACTCACTGATTTCAAAGATTGCTGATATAAAATCCTAACATGGTTGCTTCAGTTGTTTTATTTGCCCCCAGCAGAGTTCATGGTCTCAGAGTGACGATTTGGAAAGCAAGATTTTCAGAAAGGCAAATATTTGTGAGCTAAAAGTACAGCTGACCATGCAGGGTAAACAATATTTCCAGTGTGGCTCTGAACTCCCTGGAGTGTGTGATCACACAATTGTATTTCCATACTGAGCCTTTCCTTCCTTCCAACAGGATGTTGCCAAGTTTTCTGCAACTGGTGGAGAATCCAAGAACAAGTTGAAAAAGCCCACTTTGTGCTCTTTTGCAGTTTTAACCTGTCTCTACAAATTTAGCTGCCTGCTGCATCTTGGGGTAAACACAGGAAAGGGAGAGGGAATCAAAGTCAGTAAAAAGAAGTCAAATGAATTCATTTAGTTGAGCCAGTGAAAAGCAGGAATAACCTCATAGGGGTCCGTTGTTTTGTACAGAATTGAAAGCTGTATAAGAAACAATGAATCAATTTTTGAAAACCCGATTGGGAAAACTCTTCTGTGAATATTAAAGATTTAAAGTAAGAAGAGCAAAGGGAAATAAGAAACCCTGTTTCTCTCAATCCCAAAGGCTTATTAAAAACCAAAATTCTTCCAGACTAAATCTGCTGTCTTTCTGTCAGTATCTTTTGCCTTTCTGAGTTCTAGGAGTAGGAGAGAAACTGAAAATTGTATTCATGTGCAGGTTTGGATTTTGAATAGACCTAAATTTCAGAGAGTGTTGGGACCAACCATTTGGTGTTGCATCTATCCTTGCTAAATTAAAGGGCACATTTTAAAAACAAATCCAATTAACTCAAGGAAAGAAGCAAAGATTGAAATTTAGTTTTAAACAGCTTTCTTGTGGAAAAAAAACAACTCCAGATCACACTATCTGTTGAACTTCATCTTTTATCTCCTTCCAATAGATCTGTGTATCTTCATAACAACAAACTTTCAGATGCTGGGTTACCTGATAACATGTTCAATGGCTCTGCTAATGTGGAGATACTCATCATGTCCAGCAATTTCTTGAAGTATGTGCCAAAGAATCTCCCTCCAGCACTGTACAAATTACACTTACAGGTAATGACAACAAAGTTTTGTGTTCCTTTAGGGTTGTGACAAAGTGCTGTGTTGTGTGGGATTCAGCCCACACAGCCAAGCCATTCCAGTGTACTTGGAAACATCTCCAGGCCCATTTTCAGTCTCCTCTGCTGTATCCTCAACAGTTGCTGTCTCCCATGTCCTTGCTTTGTTGTCCATGAGTAACAGTGTGTTTTTGCAAAACACCAGGATGCTCACAGGGGACAGAAATGCTTTTCTGTGTTTTCAGGGTAACGTATTGCAAATGCCTGTGTGGTTGCATTGCTGGTCTCTTCCCTGCATATAATGATATTAATACATAGTAGAGCAAGAAGGTGGGTCATTCTCCATGGCCATCCAGAGACTGGCCTCCCTGTTAAGTTTGCCACCAGTGCTGTTTTTCCTGAAGCTGCTTACCCCCCATGTCCTGGCATTGCTCACTAACTCCTTTCACACAGACACTGTTTCCCATCAGTGACTCCTGTTTGCTACTGACCTGGCAATTCCAACAACACAGTTTGGATCAGCGATTCTCTACTGCTACAACTTCTCCAGCAACAGTGCAATAGCAGAAGTTGTGGTATTAACTACTCTCCAGCATTTTTAATTCCATGTCATCTGATTTTGATAAAAAGGCTTCATCCTGTCTGTGCTGGAGATCCCAGCCCTGTAACAGTGGCAGAGCTGCAGCAGTGGGGAGCCCTGGATCCGCCTGCTCCGAGTGCTGACAGCTCCTTGGACATGGTTAGGCTGGAGTCTGTTATCAGCCCCTGCACTTAGGCAGTTCTCTGCTGCCTCCCAACTCTCTTTTCCCTTGAAGGTTTCACCACTAATTCCTGTTAAAGTCTTCTAGAGAATAGGCTTCTCCAGCTTGAAGAGCAGTAAAGGCAACCAGTCTGATCCTTTAAATCACTGGAATTTCTAAGTGGCATTTAGTTTTATATTTCATTTGTTTCTGCCTGCTGGCTACTCCAAAGCCACACTAAGGCCATGGGAGTAATTAAACACAGGAACTGTACCTCTGGGTATGACATTAATGCTGGAAGGATGGCTGATTCCCAACTTCCAGCCTAATTCTTCTTTATGGTGAAATCTGTCTTACAAGACTTAGAAATTCTGAGCAAACTCCAGAGTTGGTTGCCTAAATTACAGTATACATTGCACATAAGTAGAAGGCTATGAATGCAAAATAAAACTGTCTGGGAGGCACAGGGCAAATTCTGCCTTCTTAGCCCAAAGGTTCCGTGGGGAATCAATAAAAATAGTTTGTATTATTGCAGCCTAGTATTTGTATTTATTTCTTCAGTGGGATTATAACGCCCCCTGAAATATCTTATGTCTAGCCCTTTTGAAGGTTAATTGCCTGTGTTAGCTGAACAGAACCTGAATGTCCTGAGTTGATTCATGCCAAGTAATGTGCTTTGTGCTCTAGAGCAACAAGCTGGAGAAGATTCCCAAAGGAGCCTTCAGTGAACTCACAGGTCTGCGGGAGCTGTACTTACAGAACAACTACTTGTCTAATGAAGGAATGGACAACGAAACTTTCTGGTGAGACTGAGCTGTGCAGTTTGTACCTCTGTGTCTGTGCCTCCTGTGGTACAGTCAAACACCTACTGAACAAAGCACATCATAAAAATCAAATTTATTAAAAGCTGTATGACGTGCATTTCACTGCTAAATCTTAGATACTGCCATCAAAAGCAGAGGTCTGAGTGAGTGGTTGCAGAATAGTTTTATATAAAAGACACAACACTGAAATCAGTGCCAGTCACACCAGGTACTAAGTGCCCTCTGGGTAAAATCACCTAGAACAACGTTGGCAGCCAGCCTCTGTTCTTCCAAACCAGTCAAAACTGAGGTTGCTTTGGACTTTCCAGTTTCTAGGGCAGTTCACTGGAAGTTAAGGCCAGACCTTCATCTTTGCTAAAGCCACTTCTGAGTTTCTGTGAAGGTGACTTGAAAGCAGCTACAGACACAGAGCTGTGAATTCACCTGGCCCAGCTGCACCCCAGTGCAGGGGACTGGAGCAGGCAGGGGTGCAGTGGTGCTGCTCAATAGCCAGATGGCTGCAAAAGCTTTGCTACAAACTGGTGTAACAGAAATAGCCTTTGGATGTCCTAAATTTAGCCTGGGACTTAGCACTCGAAAAGTTAACAGTTATTTCTCTGCTTGTTTTACCTGAAAATCCAGACCACATAATTGGTCCTGCCCATAATTTAGTTCTGTACACTTTCCTGATCTCCAGACATGAAAATGTATCAAACTGTGCTTTCCCTTTCCATTTCCCATTCCCAGAAACCTCCCTTAGTAGTTCACTATATCTGTTTTGAGTCCACCTCCAGGTCATGTTGGACATATAATCTCTGTTAAGAAGTTCCCAAGCTGGGGAAACCTTACAAATTGCAGCAATGAAGTTCTTTACCCAAAGAGTCTATTTGTTCATTCAGAGAATGCTTGGATAGCTGTAAATAGCAGTGTAGTAAGCAGTAAGTAATTTCTGTAATGCATTAGTTCTCACATTTCCTGAACACTTCCTAGTCCCCTGCAGTGGGTTATGTGGTGCCATGCAGATTGAATCTTTGAACTGAGACAGTGACTTGAAATACAGGGAATCCAGGATTCCTCAGTCCTGGCATATAACACCATTGATCCACATCCAGTTGGTATAAGTGGTTGAACTGAGGATTTAATTTAGCTTCAACTGAGACCATGGAATCCAGATTCAGTAGCTTACACAAAGCAGCTCTAGTCCTAACTCACTTCCATAATGCTGGAGGGTCAGGAGAAGTTCACTACCTTAGCCCAGGACACTGAGTTAGCATTTCTGCTTTTCATAAGAGGAACATTTCATCATCTAAAAAGCAGACCTGCTTTTCAGTTTCAGTATAGCCTTTCAGAGAGACAGAAATTACTCCTGCTCAGGCTTTGTTTCTGTGAAACCAAGACCTAAATTCTGTGCTCTGATGGCACTCCTGTGGTACCTTCCTCATGGTCTTTCTTCACTGAACTTGCTCATGTGTTGCTGTCTGTGGTGTCAAATGAGAGAACAGTGACTGCAGAACTCAGCCCAGTGGCAGTTTGGATGTCTGTGGACTGTGGCAGGTCCTCTGGCTGGCGTGGCTGGGGAGCAATAGCAGTGCCTAGTCTGAATCCCTAATGGCAGTACAGGAGCTCCCTGTTTTGCTGTGCACATCAGTCACACCATGAGACAAAAAGGGCAGTCAGTAGTGGGAGCTGTCCTGGGTAAAAAGACTCTAAAGCAAAGACTGTAAAATCCTAGGGGAAGTTGGTTATCATTTCACCTTGCCAAATCTAAATAGAGAATGTTTTCTTTCCTTCTTTCCCAAGGAAATTGTCCAGTCTTGAATACCTGGATTTGTCCAGCAATAACCTCTCACAAATCCCAAGTGGTTTACCTCGAAACATCGTCCTCCTCCACCTGGAGAAGAATGCAATTAAGGTGATTGACAGAGATGTGTTAACCCAAATTAAGAACCTGGAGTACCTTCTGCTCCACAATAACAAATTAAAAGCCCGAGGGATTCACCCATTAGCCTTCCAGGGCTTAAAAAAGCTGCACACTGTCCACCTGTACAACAACATGCTGGAAAGGATTCCCAGTGGGCTGCCCCGGCGTGTGAAAACACTTATGATCCTTCATAACCAGATCTCTGAGATCAACAGGAATGACTTTGCTACCACTTACTTCCTTGAGGAGCTGAACCTGAGCTACAACAAGCTCAAAAGTCCCCAGATCCATCGGGAGGCCTTCCGTAAGCTGAGGCAACTAAAGTCCTTGGATCTTTCTGGAAACAATCTCCACACAGTCCCCTTTGGCTTTCCAAAGAACTTGCAGGTCCTGAAGCTGAAGGAAAACGAGATAAGCATCATCCCAAAAGGGACTTTGTCTGGCATGACAAAACTGCGGGAACTGTATTTGAGCAACAATAAACTGAAAGTAAATTCAATTTATTCAAGAGCTTGGAGAGAACTCAGCAGTCTCCAGGTAGAAACACCACCTTCTCTAATTGTTGTAGTGATGCTGATGTCCTTGTCTGTCTGCCTAAGCCAAACTGCATAACACCAGTTCTAGATGTGCTTGGTCCTCATGTTCTGGGCTTGCATTGTAAGAGCTACACACTCTGTTTCTAGATAGAAATGATGTGCTGTTGTGCCAGAGGTGGGTACCTCCCACTGCTGGCCAGGGCATTGGCCCACCATGTACTGCTAATTCTAGGAAATGTAAAGATAGCTTTGTTTCTGAACCCTAACAGTGTCCTATATTTTCAGATAAACATTAGTGAATGTTGTCATTAAGACTGAAATTAGGCCTTTCAAATAGCTTGTCTCCCAAAAGATTTAAAATCAGCTCTGAATAGAGACAGCAGGAGGAAGGAATGCATAAACAAAAACACTCTTAATTCTCAAAGCCCCCACATCAGCTTATGGTCAGACAGGCCAAGCTGTAGGATTTAGCAGCTCAGCTGGCTAAGGCACCTGGATAGCAGCTAGGAGGTCTGGATTCAATCAGCAGTCTTCTCATTTGCTTAATTGTTGGAGAAAGTTAAACACAAACCATAAGGCAGGCTGGAACAATCAGATTTGTGCTGTGCAAGATGACCTTTCACAATTGTTACACTGGCTGAAGGATTTGTCTGCATTTCCTTTTAGGCAACAGCCCCTTTCCTGCAGTGAAAGGTATTACCTCTGCAGCCACTGCGGGTTCATATGGTCACTGTGCAGGCAAAGGGTGCACATCTCAGAGCAGATCAGGAATAAGGGACATGGAGCATATGTCACACTGGCCCCAGTGTGTGTTCAGACAATCCAAACGTTAATCTGTGTGAACATTTCCCTTTCTGTTGTTTCTGGAACTAAACAATACCTTGTTTTTCAGTTAATATGAATCAGCAATGCAGCAACAGTATCTGCAGAGCTGTTGGTTTGCATCAGCTGCAGATTTGATCCATGGTTTAATAATACACTTTGCCTTTGTTTGATGCCTCACTTATGTATGTGTGTGTGTGTGTGTGTGTGCATGCAAATACACCTAACATGAAAAGTAGTCTGGAAGGAAGATGCTGTTGAGAATTACAGCTGCTTGGATTGTTTTTCTGCAGTACCTTAATAAAAATATAGGTTATTTTATTTTCAAACAAAATTGGGTCATGAGACCTGTTAGGCAGCTTGACTTGGCTGGAATAAGCTTTCATTCTTGTAGGGCCCATTCCAGCTACTTCGTGGCACTTTTATTCTACTGTCACTCCCTTGTCACTCCTCAGTGTCAAGCCAAAGTAACATGTTGGAGAATCAAACACTGGCCCTGCAGTTGGACCTACCCCACAGCAAACCCCATTCACATCAAACAAGGTTCAGATAATAGCACACACTTAAAATTCTGTGGGGCTCATGGTGAATTTTTGGCTGGTGCTTTTCTTTGGAACAGTGTTCCTGTTGGTTAGTTGTTTCCATTATAGTTATAGTTGAATATTTTTTAGCATTAAGGGCTTAACTGTGCAAGTGGTTTCTGAGTTGGTGCAATGGAGTGCATTTGACTGATAACCAGCACATAAGATCCTGATCGTGCAGGTACTTAGTAAAGGCTTTAGTCCTCACTGTTTCCATGGAAATCACTGGAGACTTTCTGCAACTGCAAAGCAAGACTTTTACATAATGCACTTGGCAGTGCTGGGCTAACAGTTGGACTCAATGATCTTAAAGCTTTTTTCCAACCTAAAGGATTCTATGATTCCATGATAATTGTTTGCCAGACTGGCATTATGTGGGGAATAAAAACACTGGAATCATGTTGTTTGCAGAAGTGTAGCTTTGAATAGTGTGTAACTAGTGTGTGTCAGCTTGGTGCTATGGAAATGCTGCAATACAGGATAACAAAACACTGCTATTGATCCATTCTCTTGCATAAAATTAAACAGAGGAGTGATAACGACCTTTAGTCCTGATGTCTCCCTCCATGTTAGAATATTTCCAGATGTTTTTATGTGTAGCTGTACCTAGTCCCTAACCTTAGCCAGGGAAGTGTTTGCAGTAGCAGCTTCCAAGGAATTCTCAGGCATATCTCAAACCCAGCCTGTTTTTAATTTACTTAAAGCCTGGGGACAGAGATAAAGAAATGTTGGAGCTCCAAAACAAACCAGCATGATGTCTGATGTGAAATCAGGATGCTAAATAGCAGTGTAAGAGAGTAGAATTGTCTTGGCCACACTTACCTAGATGTAAATTAGAGGCAGAATAAATTAGTTTATGCTATAATAAATATCAATTCAAACTTAAATATCTTCTGGATTGTTTCTAATATTTAAATTCAGTTATTTATTTGACCCCTGGTTGTCTCTTCCTTGCAGTCACTAGACATGGCTGGCAACCAGCTGACATCCATCCCACTGGGCCTGCCGGAATCTCTGGAATATCTGTATCTCCAGAACAACAAGATCACAACAGTTTCAGAGCATGCTTTTGAATCCACACCCAAAATAAAGGGGATTTACCTCAGGTAAGGTCAAGTTTCCACTTAAGCACACAAGATTAGTTTTCTTCTTTGTCCACTTTATAATTGCTTACGTTTTAGGAAGTGTTTAAAATGCTAACTTTCTAAATGAGCAACTTTGTTTTATAGTAATATGTGAGGAAACTATGTTCATCTGCTCAGGAAAGACATGGATACACATAATAAGCTCTTTCTGTTCAGAGAGCTTGTCTTTTCTGTGCTTATTAGAATAGATTGGCATGTTAGTAATTCTGGGAAATTAATGTTTAATATTGTGTCATATTCCAATATTCAACTGTGAGCCAGAAGTTTACAGTCCACTTATAGGAGCGCAGCTTTGCCTGTGCCTGTTGGCCCTGGATTTTGACAAAATCCCCCTCCGGTGAGGGTGTGTGACTAATGTTGAAGTTGTGCACATTCCCTTGATAGTTTTGTCAGAAACAAGTGGCCAGTTACAACTCTGACAGTTACGTAACTAAGATTAGAAGCTTTGCTGGTTTTTTTTCTCACTCAGTTGGATGAGGAGTTTTTTTTATAGGTGACAGATACTGACCTTTTTTACATGTAATGTAAACTCACAGTAATGTAACTGGTTTAAGCAGAGCTTTATACCACAAGAAGTGAAGCAAGAATCTGTCCCAGTAATATATTCAGTTTTAAACTGATGGCATATTATTGAAAATATTTATTAGAAGTAACTTATGAATCCCTATAGAATATTTGATTAAGCTGATCCAGTAGATGTGTTCAAAAAGCTCAGTCTGCTCAAGACTAAATATGGTCTTATTTTGTCTGTATGCAACTAAACTGCCCTGTAGTTCTGAATAACTCTGGAGCATACCTTTTTGGATGAATGATTCCATACCAGGCAAATAAAATTACAAAGTCTGGTGTAAATTAGAGCAGTCTGTCTATTCAGCTGCTCACATTTATGAGATTTTAGTGAATGCTTGGATGCGGACCAGAAACCACATACCACATTCTATATTTCTATATAAAGAAGAAAGGAATTTGCAAAACAGTTTTGCTAACATATTTAGGAGGCAACTCCACCCAAGCTAAGTTGTATTTTTTAATGGGAGACTATTAATCACTGGGAAACAATAACATACATATGGAATATTAGACAGAATATGATTTTAAGCGTGTTCACAAGTCACAGACCAAGCAGTAAATGTGAGAGGTTCTTAAACTGCAGATTAGTTTATTTGTATTCCTGGAAACACAAATAACAGCTGAAAAATTACTGCATGTTGCTTTTTTTCTAAGGAATACTTGGTACCAATATTTTGAGTTTTGTGGGTGAGGAATTAAGGTATCAAGGAGTGACAGAGAATCTCATGAAAAATCAAGCTACACTTTGAAATGTGGGCTATGGAGCAGATGACTTTCCTCTTTGGGAAGAAGGAAGCAGAATAGCAAAAGAAAGAATTTGTGGGGGAGGAATATATAATGATTTTGTTTCCTTCCCCCATCCAGAGGAGCCAGCACTTCTAGAGCACTGTTGTGGGTCAGTATAAAGACAGAGTAACTTGGATCAGTGGAAAGTTAGAGGAACTCTGCAGAATGGCTTCCTCCAAGTCTCCTCATTTCTGTGTTGGATATAAAAAATGGGTTTATTTTAACAGAAGGGCACTTTTGTTTGTTTACAGGTTTAATAAGATTGCAGTTGGAGCACTGAAAGAAAGTACCTTCCAAAACCTAAAGCACTTACAGGTACTGGATATTGAAGGGAACCTTGAATTCAGCAACAGTTCAAAGAATAAGGATGATTCAGAAGAGGAAATGGAAGATGAGGAAGAGGAAGAAGAACTGAGATAAAATGTGAACTCACACAATCACACCATGGGAGAGGTAACAACTGTAGTTCAAGGATCCAATTCTCAGACTTTCGTGCAAATAATTCCAATTTACACATATGATTAAAGCATAACAAGGGTGATTGAGCCCTGGACTCAAAGACTTCCACTAAAACATGACTGTGAATTGCAAATCAAGAAGGTTTGAAAATACATTATTTTGTAAAATGAAACAGTCAGTATATATCTGTGTTTTAGCAGAGGCAGTGGACTGTTCATAGTGGCTCCTGCTTATAGCCACAGCAGGCACAATAGTTAAATATGAACATCCTTGTTTACTAATTCGGATAACAAAAAAATGAAAAGGTATTTCATGATAACTTTTAAGCAGGTAGCTCAAAAGGAAAACAAAGAACAAACTAGAAAGCTTACTGATGCAGAAGACCATGGGAGCTGAAAATGGATTTAAAAAATTATGCAAATTAAAGTAAGATTAGACCCACTGTCTGTTAAACACGGCATTAAGATTACAACCTGTCTCAAGCAGTACTTAAATCACTGACCACTTGGAGTGGGAAAATAATGCTATACTTGGTATATTTCCTATGGAAAGAATAGTCTTTCTAGTTGAATCTCTTATATTCAACTGCAGAAGAAAAGATGAAGGGAGAATAACGTTTGAAGAATATGCATTTTTTCATAAGAATAGCTATCTGCCTAATGTATCTCTTAAGCATCTTATATTCAAAGACAATGAGATTGAGGACTACTCTTTACTTCTGGAGATTTAAACTTTAAGAGTGGAAAAAGAGAATTAGCCTTCTCCCTAATCAACATTTTGTCACGGAGAGTGACACAAGGAATTGCTAGGAATAGTGCTAATACGCTTAAAAGATGATGGGGCTTGGAAAGGGCAGAAGCTACTTGGAAAGTCAAACACCAGACCTCGAGGCTGGGCTGTATGAAAACTTTGTGAGGGAAGAAATAATTTATATCTGCAGACTTAGAGTACATATAACTTCAAAATCAGTGTATCTCTGGTTTAGTTTAGGACACGTGTGACATGTTAGCAGGTACTAAGTTTATCTTACTCTGAATTCTGTATTGCATTATGTAATTTATTTTATTTTTCTGTTTTGCAGGAAAACATATGGAAACTTACATATATGTCTATGTGTATATATCTATATAGATATACAGAGAACACTTAGCAGAACGTGCAATGAATTACGCAGAAACTGTCGTGGCACTGAGCCAGGCTCATGGAAGACAGTGTGTTACAGTGCCTTATTCAGGGAAAGACCCTGAATGCCTTTCCAAAGCTTCCAAATCATCTTATACAAGACCCAGGATCATAAGGGATTGCTTGGGAACTCACAAAAGCTGGCTTTTGTTTCTTCTGTTTCTCTTCCTTCACTGTTTCCATCTGTAATACGGGGCTGTTTTCAACACATGCCTTCAAATGCCATTTTTGTCGCTGCATTTTAAGTGAACCATGTATAAGCTTCTTTTCCTCCACCCCAAAGAAGCTGTTGCTGATCAGGCAAGATGAATATTTTCAGTAGTTTCATGTGTGGAGCAGTGTATGAGGCATTTTGGTCATCAAGCAACACTAATAATTCTGGGTGCAACTACTCCTCTGTTATAAAAATGTGTATATTTGGATGAGAAAAACAAAATAAGGCTGGATCCCAAAATATTTTATCTCTACTGCCAAAGCCTGCAGTATATTCCTGTTTTAGAAAGGTTTTAAGATAAAACTATTGCTCTTGTGAATATATATATATATATATATATAAAATCTGTATGTCTGCCTTCCAGAGCTTTGCTAAAGTCTCTGTTTGCTCTTGTATGCCCGTGTGGCAGTTGTGTGAACGTCTCTAAAGGTATGGAGTGACACTGTGAAGTGTAATATATGTGGTTGAATTTTTTACATAGTGTATCTTATTCTCATTGAGAGTCAGGAGTGAGACTAGTGATGTAAAAGAGATAAGTGAGCGTGGGCTGTCTCGGGAGAAAACTGTTAAGTGTCAAGAGAAATTTGTTTAGTTCAAGTCTTGAGACAGTGCCTGGTGTTGTACTCAAAGCCTCACCTATTTTATGATGTCAAGTACTTTCAGCTCCTGTTGGAGTCATGGAAAATAAGGAAACCAAGGAAAAGAAGACTCACGGAGGTACAAGTTTTTTAGTTGATTATAATGTCCTTCATCTGAGGCAGTTAATCTGCATGAGGAAATGGTCTTTTCTTTTGAGGATTTCTGATTGAACACATGTTGTTTTGTACACTGCATTCCAGGATTTACTTGGAAACACAGTTGGCTTAATTTTTTACCAGCTGTTTTCCTGCTGGAGATCTAGTTCCACACTCTCCCTTTGGTTCCCATAGCACATGACAGTAATTTCAAGCTGTTTCCTACCTTAGACAATTCAACACAATCATCAATCATAGAAGGAAAGATTTCTTCCTGAAAAAAATAAGAACTTGGCCCTAAAAACTGCAAACCCCCATATTTTTGAACAGCAGCTATACAGCTGAGCAATAAAATGACCTTCTTGACTGCTGGGATAGATTTCTACATAAAATGTTTACAGAAGTAGCTCAAGTCAACACCAGTGGAAGTTTTGTTAGTCTTTGGTGAAACAGAGCAATTGATTAAACTCCTGAACAAGCTGAGAATATGCAGATTTATACAGTTTTATGGAGAACTGTTCTATTATCTTTAAACTTCTGTCCCTTACACTGTGCTCCTGTGAAGAGTCAGGTGCCTCAGACTTCCTTTGAATCCCTTGAGAGTCTGATGCACTGAATGCAGGGTGAAGGTGCATTTTAGCACCTGTAGGTCAGGCCCAAAATGTCAGAATGATACATACACTGTTAAGCTTCTTTAGCAAGCAGAAGCCTTTGCCAAAGGAGACCCACCTACAGCTGAAGGAATGTATCATGTAGACCAGGCAGAGTTAGGAAACCCTTATCCAAGTTTATTTAAAAAAAATGCATGCTGTCCTTTAAATAGGACAATGTTTTCCAGCAGAAAAAAAAAAAAAAGACACCCTTCTTTCCCGGTAAAAGCCTAAAACCCCACGAGAGGAATGTATTTTGATTGCTGTGTAAGAGATTGATGAGGGAGAACCACAGGCCTGATTCCTCACTTACCTGATATCATCAGCACCTATGACATTGGACATAATACTGTCAAACCAAAATGGTAGTTTATTTCTTTTAAAGGAGTAAGAAGCTTGATGAGAGATGTTGAGAAATAGTCAGAACTCCATGGGACTAAGCCCACATAATTTTTTGACTGTGGGTGGTAGCCTTAATCCAAAGATCCAGACTTGGGTGGAGCAGGACCCATGAACAGGCTCTAATTTTATTATTTTCTTTAGTGAAAATGAGAATTGGGAAAATGGAATTTTCTTAGGCCACAAAGAGGTAACACAAATGTTGTTCTCATGTAACTTTCTTCCTGTGAATTGCTTGGATTTGGGAAGAGAAAAATAGAAAGATTTTAAGGCTGAGATAGATGTATAAATAGTGAAAACTTGAAGTCTAAAACATTCAGTTGGCAACTTTATCCCTAAGTATGCATTTGCACAGGCCGCATGGTCTGTATGGAGGAGTTTATTTGCTGTTTGGCTTTTAAAAACCATGTTTCCTCATTACAGAGGATACTGCACAAAACGGGGAAATGGGATTTTTTCAAGCTACGATTTTTCACAGCAACAGGAGTACAAATGCAGCATGTGAGCTAGAAAGAACTAATCGGGTGCCAAAAATAGCCCCTGGATAATGAGCTTTTATTTCAGACGGTGGGCACGTAGCCCATCTGTGTCTCCATGTGGATGGGCCATTCTGCAGCCATCCTGCCTCTCATCCCTGTTCCTTTGGGATCCTCACCCCATGGCCAGCCATCCTCCCCCCCATCCCTTTCTTTGGGATCCTCACCCCATGGCCAGCCATCCTCCCCCTCATCCCCTTCCTTGGGGATCCTTGCCCCATGGCCATTCCCTCACGAGGAATGGGGCACCCAGCACCTGCTCCCTGCCCGCTCCTGCCCTCTCCTCACTCCTGCCCCACACGGCTCCCCTCGGGGAACCCCATGGCTTGTTATTTGGGTGTTTCTGGGAAGAAAAGCCCAGGAGAGCTGTTTCTTCCCCAGAGGTATTATCTCCCTATACAGCCTTATGCCCTTTGCCTCCCCTGGGTGCTGTGAGGGGCTGGGGGTCAGACTGGATCCTGGCAGCCCATTTTCCTCTGCTTTCCACGTTCACACTACTGGAGGGCTCCTCCTGCTGTCCCAAAGGGGCAAAAAAGTCCCCTAGAGGAGCGGGCGCCATCCCGCCGGCTGTGAGGGAGGAGCGGCCCTGGCCACGGCCGTTCCTCTCTGGGGAGGGAGGTGGCACAAGGCCGCGGCTCTCCCGATGCCAAGGTGGCGTCCCTGTGAGCCCCTCTGGAAGGAACACCATGACCCCGCTGTCTCCAGCCTCGGCTGGCAGGAGGGGTGAGTTATGGGGACACCAGCGGCCATGTGGGCAGGGCGGGAGGCAGGTGAGGGGCGGGGGCTCAAGCGCCTCTGTGGTGTGGTAAGGGGGGTTCTGCTCTGCCTCGAGGGCCTCACACACCGTGCTGTGGTGTTTGGGGTCTAAGTGTTACATTTAATGAAAAAGAAGTGCTTTATGCAGTATGTAGATATTCTTCCGAGGAGAAAATTAGTTAAAAAGTTGTTTGTTTTTTTTTTAATTAGGAAAGATGGGGCAAGACTACAAGAGCGTATAATGACAGGACAAGGTGGGGTGGGTTCATATTGAAAGAGAGTAGGTTTAGATTAGGTATTAGGAAGTAATTCTTTACTGTGAGGCACTGGTCCAGGTTGCCCAGAGAAGTTGTGGATGCCCCATCCCTGGAAGTGTTCAAGGGAACAATGGGGCTTGGAACAACTTGGTCTAGTGGAAGGTGTCCCTGCCCATGGCAGGTAGGTTGGAACTGGATGATCTTCAAGTTCCCCTTCCAACCCAAACCATTCCATGAATCTGTGATTCTGTGAAAAAAAAATAAAAAATTAAAGAAACCTCCAAAGGAAAACTTTGGATGAAATATGAATGGGGATGTGGTGGGGCAGAGAAAGGCTACAAAGGCCTCCCTTGTGGGAGTGGCATCAGCTCCTGAGGAACCGACTGCAGCCCTGGCAGCAGGACAGAGTCCCTGGCAGTGGGACAGTGTCCCTGAAGTGGGACAGTGTCTCTGGCAGCAGGACAGAGTCCCTGCCAGTGGGATAGTGTCCCTGCAGTGGGACAGTGTCCCTGTGGGTCTGCTCCCCGGGGCTGGCAGCTGCATCCCTCACTAGGGGCTCTTGGCCATCAGAGCTCTTGGCTCATAAATCCTGCAGGATTGTACATTAAAAGGGCAGGTAGGGAAAGGATCCTCCAATTCCAGCTGAGGAGCTGGGCTGGCAGGGTTGCTCCTGAGACCTCTGTGCTACAAACCCCCTGTTCTGCTGCTGTGCAAGATGGATAGAGGGGACTTTTCCTGAGCAGGCTGAGGACCTGAGTAGCAGGTGTTAGGTACATCCAGGAGGAAGGCTATGGACCTGCATTAACAAAGTGGATGAGAACGGGAAGTATCCTCCTTCCAGAGACCCCACTGCCATTTTTTTCTGCTTCCCAGTGATCCACACAGAGCAGGGAGGCAGGAGGGGGCCGATCAAAACTTTTTGATTGTTCTCGCTTGACTGTGTTTCCTAACAATCACTAAGAGTTTAGCTTGTTAGGCTGCTTGTCACCATGTTGACTGAGCACACTAACTTTTTTACAGATTCTGCTTACAAAAAAACTAAGCAAATTTATTCTTATTTAATAATAAAATACTTTACAAATAGTCTTTTTTGATGGGAAGCCATCTCTTGGAAAGCTTCTATGATATAGTCCAATATCCTGTAATTGATTTCATTATACTCTAATATTGGTGAGTTTTGCTTCCCAGGTTTGGGAATAGTTGTCCCCAAAACTTAAACATATATAGAGTTTTATATAATATGAATTTAGCCTTGTTTTTTCAAGATATTTCTTTTTCTGATGGGATTAATTTATGAAGGTCATTGTAATTGGTTTATTATGTTGCTAATACAAGAACAGTGAGTAAATTCCCTGAAGAACTCCATTTCCTTTAGTGAGGAAAATATTGGTATGCCCTGTAGCTCTGATTCATGCTGCTATTGTGAAGTCAGCCAGCTGTGAGATATATGTGTAGGCAATGGATGATAAATGTGTTCTAATAATCCAGTATACAAAGTATTTCCATAAAAATTCTTCAGTAGTATCCAAGGACATTAAACAGTGCATCAGTAAAGTCCCTCTTTAAATGGTTTTGAATCAGGCAAAGACTGTTTTAATGCACAGTTGTACAGGCTATCTCAAGTTTTCCTCATGAAAGTTCCAGAATCTGTTTTTAGCATATGATTATGATACTGCTGAGAATGTTGCTTCTGATAAAAATTCATGTTGATTTTCAGTATTCCCATTTCTAGTTGCATACAAGAAATTAATGATACTTATGCTTTTATTACTTGGGATATAATTGCGTATTTGTTGACAGTCATCACAGAAGTTAGCTTTAAAAAAATTCTAAGATAAATCTTTTATACAGGATTAAAATTATACAGGATTAAAATTAACTTCGATAGCTTACGGAGCACTCTACATCTCTCCTCTTCTTTGTGGCAGACTTGGGGCTGTTTAATTCCAATGCAGCAGTGGGATGAAACTCAAAGCCCTTCCTGCTAGAGCTTGATCCAACCACAGTGGTGGACTGACACCCTCCTGTCCATCCTGATTCCTCCTTCCCCAGATATTTGGTTAGGAAGGATTTCATGTCAGAGAAATGCTTTCTTCTATTAAAAAAAAATCAGGAAGACTGGATGATTTATTCTAAAGCAAAGATAATATATTTGCTGATTAAACTAGCAGTGTAGACTACCCAAATCTCTGTGCTTTAAGTTTGTTTTCAAGAAATCTCATTAAATATTAAAGAAATATTTAAAGTATTTCAATGGAAAAAAAGATGGAGGATTATGATTAAAAATGCTCAGTTTGACTTAGTTCTGTATACTTTCCACATGTTTTTAATAGCCTAGTGGTAAAACCCAATAAAACCACTAAAAGCAATGAAATCATAATGAAACATCTCAAGGTCAGTCTCATTTTTCTTTTGGTTTTGCCATTTAGCCCATACAGTATTTGTTGCAGATGTAATGTGAGATATCTGTGAACATAAAACACTTCTTGTTTTGCTTCCCCTTCTTTTTCCATCTTATTAAAATACCTGGGTTGTTTTTTTTTTGGGGGGGGGAGGTGGGAGCTGGAGATGTTAAATCCTTATTAGGAAAGTTCAAAAGCAACAGTTAATTACAGTGAGTTTCATGTGGTGGGTCGAATCCTGGCTTTCAGCTGTTGCTGTGTGCAGAAACCCAGCAGCAGGCATTTGCTTCCCAAATGAAATGCAGAGACCTCTTTGTGCTGAAAGGTGACTGCTTTCAGAGCAACAGATGCAGAACTCTGTGCCTTGGAGAACAA